CGTGCCTCTCACCCTCCTCCCGGAATGGCAAGACAACCCGCTCCCGACTGCTTTCAGGCTCGCCATTTTTATGTGGTCCATCTCTTGCACCCTTGTATCTTATTTGCTCACCGCTCTGGCCCACCCGGGACGAGTACCAGAATCATGGCGACCGACGCTATGGCAAGAGGAACATCCCGATAAACCTGGTATACCACTGCCTCTCAAAGCCGCTGATACCCCACCCGACCCCGCCGCTGCGTCCGATGTCCGTGCCAACCCTCCCGCGAAACCAAACCTGTATCCCGTGGCACCCCCGGCCGTCCATGCTGCAGGCACTGCCATGCTGCTTGCTGACGGCCGCCACCGCTTCTGCGTCCACTGTAACGTTTTCAAACCTGATCGCGCTCACCACTGCACCTCCTGCCGTGAATGTGTGCTGCGAATGGATCACCACTGCCCTTTCACTGGCAACTCATGTGTCGGTTTTTTGAATCGCAAATACTTTGTCCTCTTTCTCTACTACGCCACCCTCTCCTGTTCCCTAGTTGCTACACTAACCCCTGGCGCTATCCTCAACCGTCTACTCGAGCTAGAAGCACGCCCGACTATCGCCGCACTTGCTGGTGTCATCCTGCAGATGATGGGTTATGTGCTCTGCGCGTTACACGCCCTCGCCCTCGCCCCTTTCTCCGCATTCCACACTTACCTCGTTCTCAAGAACAGGACAACTATTGAAAACCAAGAAGCCCGACCCGCTGTCCACGCCGATGTCCTTCGCCGTTCAGATCAAGGGTGGCTCAACAACTGGAAGGGCGTATTTGGACCACGCCCTTTGCTCTGGTTCGTACCTGTCACTATTGGTCGCGACGCGGATGTGATTGATCCTCCACAACGGCCAGCAGACGAGCTTGTGTAGCTTACTTCTGGTAGTCACCGTTGTGTTATAACTACGTGTGGTGCCACATTTGTCAATAAAAGGGTAGTTGACCCCAGTGTGCTCATGATGCTCATGGCTATGTCGAGAATAGCTAACTGTCTGAACTGCCTTGCTGCCTTGCCCTCGCCAACCCCTTTTTTTTTCTTTCCGAGTGGTCTCCTCTCGTCATCGCCTCCTTCTGTCCTCTTTAAATGATCTCACCCTAAAGTCACGCCCTCATGTATGAGATCCTTTGAAATGCAATGAGCACTGATTTGAGCGACCAGAGTAAGCAAGCACCATCTGAAATCATGTGCACTCTGTACGTAATCGAGTAAAGTTTACTCGATTACATACAGGGGGGGGTCTCCTCAATAGTTCGCTTTACAATAGTGCACATGGCCAAAAGTGCACCCCTTTCAGCGATGTCACCATTCTTACCACGTGTACACCTGTGCACTAGAGCCATGCCGATGTAGATGCACACCGCTGCGCTGCGGATGATGACCACGACCGCATGCTTCAGAGGGCGAGGCGAATACAGTGAACCCTCCCGATAAGGATCATTCTCCATATGGATATCCTCCGTAAACGGATAAAAAGTCGAGCGACGGACTCCGTAGCTTACAAATTTTTACCAAAAAACAATGTCTGTGGAATATTCCTCAATTGGATATCGGGTTCAATGTGAAATAAGCATATCATACAGACTCCTCCTACTTAAAACGTATTTTATGGTTACTTTTGAGCGGCCAAGGCACAAATTACCCCATAACCGTTCATTCTTGATCAATCCGTTCACAATCTGTTCAATAAATTCCAATCCCCGTCTGAGGCTTCGCAATTTTCATCATTCTCGACAAAAACATCTTTCTAGCATATACTCCTGTTGGTCCTCCCCCATTGGGGGAGGATCTCCTCTGATCGCAAACATTGCGTGTTGTCAGCACCGTAGCCATCTGCCCCCGTCAAGCGACAATCGTCGATGAAGCGCTCTGAGCTTAACCTCGCCCAAAAGCAACAAATATGTGCAGAGTTCCAACGGCGCAAAAAGAGCAAGGAGCAGACGTCACAAAGCGCCCTTGCGAGGTGGGCCTCAGTACAGTTTTCCCTTTCTAAACCTCCTGCTCAAGCTGTCATGTCCCGCATCATCAACGGAAAGTATGGTTTTCGTCCCGATATCTCTACAAAAAAGTTCAAGCGCTCCGCGTCAGTTACCAGCCCATATCTCGAACGCGCAGTCGCAACTTGGGTCTCTGCCCAATTTGCAAATAGGGTAAACATCACAGGTCATCTTATAACTACGCAAGCAGAGCGCATTCAATACATTTAGATACATTTTTTAAGTAAAGCACAGACATTCTGAGAGATGCACCGTGACACCGTTATGATACGGTCTCCGGATGTGAATAACCTCCGCAAATGGATACGGATTACGTCCACCGAGCGTATCCATATCGAGAGGGTTCACTGTACACTCAATTTACCGTGCGGTAGAATGTCGCCTAGCCCTTCAGAGGCACTGCGCCGTGCCAAACGAGCCCTGTTTGAAGCCTATCACCAACAAGTGCGCAAGAGGCGACGTCAAACGCTCATATCGGAGCATTTTGTGGCCGGTGGGCCGTGACCTGTGGATAAAACCTTCACTAGTTCGCGCTATCAGTCGTGCGTATCTATAGCTTATGGCACTAGGGTGCACTATTGGGTACCTACTGTACTGTAGTGCTGATACTGTACAGAGACGGCCCTCTATCAGCACATCGAGCTACAGTATTAATCCTCACACCAGCCAGTGCGTCGCAAAGTGCTGTTCTGTACACAGTACACTGTAGTTTTAGGAATATTTGTCGCAATGACAGTTTTTGCGCTTAACTCGATTTTGCTGCACTTCCGAACTACAGTAGCACCGAGATCACAACAGTTGCTCCGGTCTCCTAGACAACATGGGCGGGGATCCTCAGTCAAGCCTACGTGTCCTCAATAATGCACAAGGACTCCATGCAGGTGTCCCTGTGCTGGGCTTCAGTCCTCCTCTGGTGTGGAACTCGAGGGGCCTTTCAGCTGCCAGGCCTTGCCCACGATCTCGAAGCAATGCGCCACCAGTATCTATGAAGATGATGACCACCGGACGCACCTCCCTGTACAGCGGCATTTGCATTCTAGCTTCTGTCCTCACCAATCGCCTTGTGTTTACCCCACTAGACTCTATTGCTATGGCGCAGTCCCGCTCCGATATCCTCGGCGTCATCACCGGTGCAACTCTCTTGCTGTACGGGGTCGGCAAGGCTGACATAGCAGCCCGACAAAAGGAAGCCGTACAATTACGAGGTGTAGACGTCCGGAAGGGATTTAGCAATGACGAAAATAGAAGTGTTGGATACGAGTTGGAGTGGGCGGCAGAAGCTCTACTCTCGGCGGTTCCGAACATAAAGTCGTGCGCCATCTTTGTCAATGGTACAGGCTGGGCGTTCCTTGGCCGGTTCAGAGACCAAGATGTGACGGCAGAGCTTAGTCCAGGCGGTGTGTTAGACCTCGCACTGAAGAAGGGTGAGCGAGCGTATCTCGCTGACATGAAAACTGTCCCAGTGAAGGATGTGCAGTTTGGATTTCTACCAAGCAATTGTCAGGTACATGCCTCCTACGACAGTCGCTCACTTGCGATATCTGCGGCCTTTTGCGATGCCATTTTGCTAACCCTTGCTGCTACCTGCGATGCGATTTCGGCCACAGGCAGTGGTTGTGCAGCCAATCTCCGAATCAGCCGCCATAATTTTGGGAGCTGACAAGCCACGCCCATTCACTGGCGCGGACTTCGGATGGTTGCAAGCAATCTCGGATCGTTTGGCAGTTGTCTTGGGTGCGAATCTCAAAAACCACAAGGCGGCACAATAAACTTTCGCGAAGTAGTTTTACTTTCAGTGACTCAAACTCTAGCATCGAAGCGAGGCCCGGCAGTACTATAGATGACGGGCGAAAAGACATCGACTACCTACAAAGACGGAGCAAAACAGACAACATGATGAGCTCAAGGGTTAGAACACCGATGCGACGAAAATTAGAGCTGACAAGCCTCCCCGACAGGAGACCCCAAGCTCTTAAAGACAACGCCGTCTCCTTTCCCTCAGCCGAAAGATGGTTAAATAATATTGTAATCCACAGACGGATGCTAGATCCATTAGGAGTGGTGCACAACATAGTTCTCGATCACAGGGAAAAGAGAGCGGCCAACAAGGACGACAAGGACGACTTACCTATCAAAAGGCAACTCTGGTAGGGGTCACTGACAAGACCTCGACCGAAGCGTGTTCTTCAAGTCTCATGACCAGTTCTGGGGGTTCATAATCTTGCCTGGGGAAGAAACACGCAAACACAAAGAGAGTGAGTTTTGAGAGGCGCAAGGGTCAAGCGCATCTACATTTCCGTCTGTGCTACTTCCGCCTGAGGCAAATCGATGCGCAATCACGGGGAGGCGGATTTTACCGCATTCCAGGTCCACGACTTGATGTAGACGAGCAAGGTAGCGTGGATCCAGAGCGCCTTTATATGCGGAGAAGTTGATCGAGACTACAGTCTGCAGATGGGCTCAGCAAGGCGATGCGCCGCCGCTGCCGACGGCGGCAATCTTATCATGAGCGCAAAATTCGACAGGTGCAGTACACGTGTACTGCGCTATACGGTATGATCTGATATCGTGAGAATTGGGTATTGTACCGTCAACACATGAGAGCAATGAGATTGTATGGATGGGCTCGGCTTGCCCCACCTTCAAAGAGGACTAACTTGGCCATTGCGACATGCTCAACAACTCTGCGACGGATGCTTCCATGCTGCACTTGATAGCCCGCGCAGACAGCCTTGCTTCTCTTCGCTCAATCCTCACGGTCTATCTCGCAAGAGACCAGCCAAACTTTCTTCAACTCATCCGCACCCCACACCCCTCACACTGCATGTGACTTCACGCACGAGATCTTCTTGCGTCAACGCTCACATCAAACCTCGAACCCATCTTCAAATTGGTATTGTCAATGGATATTCGCTTGTCTCCAGGGTTCATCCACAAATCTTAGAGATGCCTTACCCTTGCGCAACAAATAGAAAGCGTACGCACGCGTTTTGGGGAAGCCCGCTGGAGCTTACCAACCTCACCCCATTCCAAGATTTGTTATGTGGTGCATTAGCAGGGTGCAGCGCCCGAATGATGGTTGCCCCACTCGATGTCTTGAAAATTAGATTTCAAATTCAGTCTGAGACCCGAGGGCTCTACCGCTATGCTTCAATGTCCTCAGCAGTACGGAGCATCTTGGCACACGAGGGCTTGCGTGCGTTTTGGAAGGGAAATGTGCCGGCTTTGCTCATGGTCACACCTTACGCGTCGGTACAATTGGCCAGTTTCTATCAACTCAAACAATTAGCTCTTAACATTCCCGAGCCCTACAAATCACTTCTTTTCGGGGCAATTTCGGGAGCTGGCGCTACCCTATGTACATATCCTATGGACCTTCTCCGCACGCGCTTCGCGGCTCAAAGCGAACCAAGGTCATACAACAGTATTAGACAGGCCGTTTCCGTTATATACAACACCCAAGGCCTACGTGGTTTCTACGCCGGCCTGGGACCCACGTTAGTCGAAATTGTTCCATACGTCTCGCTACATTTCACATGGTATGAAGGCATGAAAGGTCAAGTTCTGAAACGGACAAGGTCGGATTCCTTAAAGCCGGCGGAAAGTCTAGTAGTTGGAGCAGTCTCCGGTACAGCTTCCAAGTTATTCACCTTGCCCCTGGACAACGCAAAAAAGCTTATGCAAGTGGAGGATCAGTTTCTTGGGAAGAGAAACACTTCCTCTCCATACCGAGGCATCGCGCATGTCCTGTCAAGGATTTGGCGGAGGGAAGGCTTAAGGGGCTGGTTTCGTGGAACTGCACCAAGTCTAGTGAAGGCGGCCCCTAACTCAGCCATAACATTCACCGTGTACGAAATGACAAGAGGGTACTGTGCCAGGAGAAGCTGAGATACTGCTCATACCGTACTGTGTGCGATTAAGCAGCAAACCGAACATTCATGTCTTGACCATCTAATTGTTAAGTTGCAGTATCCAATGCAGCTCTGTGCTTTCTCGAAATCACAGAAACTTGGCCCAAGAGAGCAGTACTGAGTGTTAACCTGAACTTTGGTCGTTATCCGCCTTGTACTGGAAGTACGAGTACACAGAGTTACGTCGTATAGCATCTTGCATCGCAGTGAACATTTCAAACCCTTCTATCTGGTACGCCTGCAGCGGGTCGTCACTGGCGTAAGATCTCAACACTATGAACTCCTTGAGATAGTCCATTTGTTTCATGTGCTCCATCCACAGATTGTCCATTTGCGTGAGCCACAGAAAGCGGCATACCTCAGTACTGAAACTTGCCTTTCGAGACTCTAATTCGTCCCTCCGCGTTTCCATGAGGACCGCGAGTTGACGGAGCACATACTCATCAATGTCTTTAACATTTTCCAGTTCCGCCTTCGAGATGTTCGACATACCATCAAAAAACTGTACAAGCTTCGAAGATAGTCTCACATAGTCGTTCCCAGTTCCATCTCCACGGTTCACAAAATTGGGAAGGATCTCGCGTACTGTTTTCTCAGAGTCAAATTTCAGTCGTTCAGCAATGAAAGCTGCATCTCCGAGGACAATTTTGCGTCTCTGTGCATAAAAAGCGGAGCGTTGCTTCGAGAGGACTTCATCGTATGTAAACAGCTGCTCACGTATTTCTCGAAAGTAGGCCTCAACGTTTTCTTGCGCTGAGTCCAAAGTCTTGTTGACGAGGGAGTTCTCTATAGGTGTTTCTTCCCCAACTCGGAAAGTATCCAATATCCCAGTCACCTTATCACCGCCGAACACACGGAAGAGGCGATCGTCCAGCGCAAGGAAGAAGCGACTGCTTCCTGGATCTCCCTGTCGTCCCGCTCTACCCCGGAGCTGATTGTCAACTCTTCGTGACTCCGCCCGCTCTGTTCCGATGACGTACAGACCGCCCAACTCAAGAACTTCTTCTTTCTCCTCTGCGACCGTCTCCTCCAATTCTTCTCGAATTCCTCGCATAGATTCTCGAAGTCTATCTACCCCTTTCATGTGTTCAGGGATCAACCCAGCCTCCGCTGCAACGCCAACGATCTCATCAACAAATAATAGCGACGACAAAGCCGCAACCCCAACATTTTCGGCCACCACAGTCGCGCACCGACGCATTTTGGTCATAGCTTCTTCCGAAATATCAACCGGTAATACATCGTCATCAATGAGTACAGGTTGGGTAGGATCGCTAAGAATTTTGAAAAGGCTTTCATTTTGCGATACGAGCTCTCGGCGAGCGAGAGCTCGGGCAAAGTAGTCGGCATTACCGCCGAGCAGAATATCTGTTCCACGCCCGGCCATGTTTGTCGCAATAGTTATAGAAAACTTTCGGCCTGCCTGGGCAACAATCTCTGATTCACGCAACGCAGACTCTGGTTTTGCGTTCAAGACGTCGTGGTCGACTTCGACTTCCGAAAGAAGACTCGACAGTGTCTCCGATGCTTCGACGGAAGTCGTTCCAATGAGAATTGGTCGTCCGGAAGGTGCTACTCTTGCAATCTCCCTCATTATCGCAAGATACTTTCCTTTCGAGTTTTTGAAAACTACATCGGGGTAATCCTTCCGTCCCAACGGTAAAGCAGTCGGTACAGACACGACCGGCAGTTCGTAAACGTCGAGTAACTCTTTTGCTTCAGTTCCTGCTGTTCCAGTCATTCCGGACAATTTCTTGAAGAGCTTGAAAAACGCCTGGTATGAAACCTTCGCAGCAGTTGTTGCTTCACTGTCCACTGTGATACCTTCCTTAGCTTCAATTGCCTGGTGTAACCCATCACTCCATCGCCTTCCCTTTAGCGCGCGGCCTGTAAATTCATCTATAATTTGAATTTCGCTCTTGTCTGTTTCTTGTATGTCAGAAGCCACAATGTAATTGATGTCCTTCTTGAACACTTCTTTCGCCTTTAGAGAATTCGTGATGAACGAAGCCCAAGGATTTTTGGGATCGAACAGATCAGACACATTCAAGGCCCGCTCCAAATCTGAGTATCCTCTTTCAGTTAAAAGGACGGCTTGCTCTTTTTCATTCACGGTGTAATGTACATCTCTGGAGAGCGCCTCGGCAGCCTTCTGCGCAGTGGCGTATTTCGTAGTGGCGGTGGGGACTCTTCCCGCAATAATCAAGGGTGTTCGCGCCTCATCGATAAGAATTGAGTCTGCTTCATCCACGATACAAAACCCGAGCGGACGCGAAGAAACCACTTCAGCGCTACTCATTGCCAAATTGTCCCTTAAGTAGTCAAAGCCCAGCTCAGAATTTGTCACGTACGTAATATCACATGCATACGCTTTCCGTCTGTCTTTAGGACTCATACCAGACTGAATCAGGCCGACTGAGAGTCCTAGATAGCGGTGAATCTGTCCGATAAGGTCTGCATCGCGTTTCGCCAAGTAATCATTCACAGTTACAACATAGACTGCGTCACCCGTAAGCGCATTTAGACAAGAGGGAAGAGCCGCAACTATAGTTTTCCCCTCTCCTGTGACCATTTCAGCTATAGATCCATCATGCAGCACCATACCACCAACCAGCTGGACATCATAGTGGCGCAGGCCTAATACTCTGAATGTGGCTTCACGGACTATTGCGAAAACTTCCTCAAGAACGCTGTCCATGGTTGCTTGTGAAGAAGAAACCTGGTGACGCAGTGTGGCAATACGGGACTTCATGGCGGCATCGTCAAGTTTCTCGATTGCATCTTCGAGAGCATTGATACGGTTGACTCGTCGAAAATAAGGTGGCAATCGCTCGGCTCCAACGGACGAAGCAGAAGATGGAAGAAGAACCTCCTCGGTATTTGATGGGACAGGACCTGAGCCTTGGGAGTCGGAGCCAGAGATGGCCTTCTTGATTGTGTCTAGAATACCCATTTGCAAGGTGCGCTGATGAGAGGGAAATCGTCCATCCACAATACCAGGGGAAACGCGGCCATAGCCGCACAGCCATGAAAAAGATAACAGTGAATGAGACCGAACTGAAAGGAATGATGACGAAGTGGACACAAAAGTTGATCTGTTGAGATGAGCTAACCCCATGACGGAGCGAGTCATGGGGAGAAGCGGAACGGGAAAGGCGGGTGTTGCAGGCCGGCGGGGAAGCGTAATCTAATGACCCCGCGGCACACAAGTGCTGGTAGGCCTAAAGAAGGAAAGCCGGAGAGATAGAGCTCGAATGCATCTGAAACAGAGGTAGACGAATGATGAGAAGATTACGTCCAACGGGGAGAGAGGAATGGCAACGCAACGCAGAGAATTGGGTGGCTAGAGTAGGCCGGCTTCCTGCATCCAGTGAATGTCCAGATCGCAAATCTCGGCACGATCTCATACTGTGCATGTGTGCATGTGTCCAGGGAAATCAAATGGAATGAAATGGAGCCACCTGAGACCTAGATAGTAATTCGCGTTTCAATTTGCGAAATTCCGAAATGTCCCATATTGGAGCAAAATCTACTATACTGGAGCTCTTTCCAATTTAGTACGTCCGGGACACACACACTATATTGGCCAATTTCCCCTTTTTTTCTCACGTTACCTCACAGAACGGGTAATCGTTACAGAACTGCAGCAGCACAACAGCGGTGATGCCTGCTGAACGCAGCGCGCCATAATCTCATGGCCCCTCGGAGGCGTCTCCAGTCTCTATCAGCAGCCCCAGCAGAACGGGTAACTGTTACGCAAACAGCGCGCCGCGCGGTTTGCGTAACCGTTACCCGTTCTGCTACGCTACTCTATATACGCAAGCGCAAGCGGCGCTTGCGCTTGCGTACATAGAGTAGCATAGCAGTGATGCCTGCTGAACGCAGCGCGCCACAGTCTCATGGCCCCTCGGAGGCGTTATCAGCAGCCCGAGCACGCTATCAAGCGCCTGCGCGCCAGCGCTCGGGCTTTTACGGAGCTCCGTCGCGCGCGAGAGGACCACGAGGACGAGCATTTGCTCGATGCAGGCCTTGAGCTCGAGGGAGACCTCATGCGCAGCTCCAGCGACGACTCGCTAGGGTCCGCGGCCCTACTAGGTGCCGACGTGGAACCTGTGCGCATTGCCAACGTGCTGGCCGCCGCAGAGGTATGGGCCCTTTAGCGGGTCTATACCGATGTAATTATGGTGCGCAACGAGTGCAGTGAGGCCTCCACCTTTCGCGTGCGACGCAGCATCGACCGTGACGCCGAGCGCATGTTCGCGGTCGTCTTTCAGCTTGACCCGGGCATCTTTTTTCAGCAAATGCGAATGACGAAAGACACCTTCCTCGCTTTATTGGAAGCTGTTGAGCCGTACTTTGATAGAGACCCTAGCACCTGCGAGCCGAAGCCGAAGCCGTTCGTGCTCCCGGTGTTTTACACCGTTCGAGCGTTTGCGCAAGGGATCTCCAGCTGGTCCGCGACGGCCATCGATTGGGACCTAGGGAGGTCCACTCTCCAACAATCGTGGCTCCCTCGCGTTGCACTAGTTATAACGCTGGCGATGCCGATTCCCAGATTGCCGGACGCGTCTGACAGCGCGGCCTGGGCCGAAATAACGTCCGGCTTTGACTCGCTGTGCCGCTCTCGGGTGGCGATGAATGCGAGGAGCGCGAGAAGTTGGCGTCGGAATCTGCCGCGCGGCACTGACATTTTCGGGAACATTGCCATGGCGATTGACGGCATGCAAGGGCGGCTTGCGGAGATGCCGCGTGGGCTGCCTCGCGCCGCGGCGCAAGAGTACTACAGCGGCAAGTGCGCTTACTATTCCGTCGGCAGCCTGTTTGGTGTGGACCACCGGGGCGTCTTTACGTTCGCGGCGGTAGGCTTTCAAGGATCAGCCAGCGACATGGCCATGCTGAAGTCTACGGAGCTATGGTGCGCTATGTGCGGCGATCCGTCATTGCACAGCCGGCGTCTTCCGGAGGGGTGCACGGTCATCGCGGACTCTGGGTTCGTGCTTCGCGAGTGGATGATGATACCTTTTTCGCAAGCGAGCTGTAGCATAATTGCCGACTACTTTATATTAGATTTAGAATTAGATCTAACGCTGTAAGGTACGGACCTTACAGCGTGCGCACGCGTACTTTACAGCACGCGCGCACCAACACGTGTATCCGACGTGTAGCACACGTGTGCTGTCAGCCCCGACGGCTGACAGCGTTACAGTGCGGGCCGGCCCGCACTGTCTACAGTAAGCCGACTACAGTACAGTCCGTACTGTACTGTAGACGGATAATTAACTTGTACAATAAATATAGGGAGCGACCGCCGGCGGAGGGGACCAAGCTAGGCAACCCTCCACCGACGGTCGACCACCCAGCTTACTCTACTCACACCGCCGTTCCGCGAGTAGTGACCACCGAGCGGGTAGTGGACGCGCGCGACACCGCGGCGAGCTGCGATCCGCCTCCGCCCGTCAGTACCGGATCGTCAACCGGTACTGCTCCGGGGCGTCGAGGCGTCGATCCGCTCGCCTACGCGCGCGTCCCCGCCGACCACGCTCTACCACCCGCTACCGGCCCGCTTCCGGTGGCGTTGGTTGGTTCAAGACCCTCGGTACGCCGATCCGGGGTCTTCCGCCGAACATCGCGAACACCCCTCCGCCGTGTGTGGGGTGTTTATGCGACACGAGCGTATCCTCTGGCCCGAACAAAGACCGCTGCGCGGCATACAATTTTCTTTTGGCTCAAATTAGAGTTATAACGGAAAATGCATTCGCGCGTCTAAAAGGACGGTGGGCTATTTTGCGCTGTCTCCCGTGCTCTATCGAGATCGCGAGCACTGTGATTCTCGCCAGCGCGTGCTTGCCTAACTTCCTAGAAAACGGGAGAAGCAGGTACGACGCAGCGTGGGAGGAGGAGTCCTGCAGCGCGGAGCGCCAGCAGAGCACAGAAGACGCCTTTGCGGCGCCTCCGTGCCCCGACAATGTGCGCTCCCCGCTTGCAACGGGCAGCGACGAGCGGGTGCGACAGGTCGTACGGATGGGCATGGGGTGGGTGAATGAGGGTACATAGGCCAGCTGCACATTTTGTAGTTTAGTTTAGAGTCTAATAAACTTAAGAGCGCTTAGAAAAGCACAGTGCGCAAAAGCTAGCTTTACATTATATGCTACTCACTATCTTCGAGGATCTCCAACAGCCCCAAACTTTTCAGAAGGGATCGGCGAGCGGATTCTGACAGACTTTCATTCGATAGGATCGCCATTGCCGTTCTTTCCTTCTCGCTCGCCGTACGCGCCGCTATGTACTTCGCCTTTTCTTCGTCCACCGCCGTGGCACTGCTGGACTGCCTCCCTGTGCCTATAGAGTCCCGCAAGGTTGCCGACACCTGCTTCGCGAAATTGTCGCCGCTCTCCGCGCGGCGACGGGAGCTTGCACGTTGAGCGGACGCCTTAGCGTCCCGCTTCTCTGCCTCGCGGATCGTTCGCTTTTTTCTAGTGACGTCCAGTGCCATCATGGCCGCCGCTGCGGACCTCCTAGCTTCAGCAGGCGGCGACGGCCGGGCCAGAGCGTCAGTTGGCTCTGCGCGATGGCCCCTGCCACTGGGGACCGGCTCAAACACGCCCTCGCCGTCCCGTTCCTCTTGGGAGAGGCGAAAGCGACCCTCACTGCTGCCACTGTCGCTGTCACCGTCGCTGTCACTGTCACTATCGGACACCTCCGCCGTGTTGGCGGCGGCCGGCGCAACTTCAAAGGGGCGTTCGGAGGACCGCCGACACGCCGCTGACACGGAGGGGTTCCGTCCGAAGACTATTCGACCTTTCTCCCGCGAGTCTGTGGCCCCGAGCTTGTCAATCCACACTCGATCCGCGTCCTCCGTCGACACGCCAGTCGCCGTGGAAGCCCTCAGCGCTTCACGATACGCTGCCTTCAGCGTTTGAAGATGGCGATACATTGTTGCCCCACCGTCCGCCTCCACCTCTGCTTGCGTGCCGAACGCATCGCGAAGTGACGGAACAGTACTCAGCAGCGCGCTGGTGAGCTTCACACGCCCGTTGCTCTTCTCCGCATGAGTGCGGCCCCCAATCGCGTTTCGGTAGGCCGTCATGTTGTTCATGATCGCGTCGAGGAGCTTTACACCGTGCGTTTTCATGACGAACCGTACCTTGCGCCTGCGCGTCGCGGCCGGGGTGACAGGTGGCTCCGCGGCAGGGCCGACGGGTGGTGCGATGGTGCGTACGACCGACACGCCAGAAGCAGGGGCGGCAGGAGCGGCAGGAGCGGCAGGATTGCAAGGGGTGATAGGCGCCTCGCATGAGCTCCGTTGCCCTCCAGATACGCGGCCGCCACTCGCGGGTCGGGTGCGAGAGACGCGTCGCGTACCTTTGCGCGGTGGCATGGCGATATGTGTACGTCCTGCTGGTGTTGGAGCAGCTGCTGCTCGTGGCGGGAACGAATAGGGAGTTAACGTGATAAAAAAGGGAAATTGGCCAATATAGTGCGTCCCGGACGTACTAAATTGGAAAGAGCTCCAATATAGTAGATTTTGCTCCAATATGGGACATTTCGGAATTTCGCAAATTGAAACGCGAATTACTATCTAGGTCTCAGGATAGATGTTGTTCTTCCTGTCAAATCTAGATTTTCTATTAATATTGAGCGGTTTTCACATTGTCCAACACTTTTTGTGCTTGTTCAACAATTCATAGACCCCCCCTTTAGCTATTGTCGGAAGAGATCTGTCAAGAGACATAGATAGTAATTCGCGTTTCAATTTGCGAAATTCCGAAATGTCCCATATTGGAGCAAAATCTACTATATTGGAGCTCTTTCCAATTTAGTACGTCCGGGACGCACTATATTGGCCAATTTCCCTTTTTTATCACGTTAACTCCCTATTCGTTCCCGCCACGAGCAGCAGCTGCTCCAACACCAGCAGGACGTACACATATCGCCATGCCACCGCGCAAAGGT